AAACGGAGAACTGTAGAAGCTGGTGATGGAGAAGAGCGGTTCTAACCAACTCCCACGCACCTTGGACGTGACTGCTGTCTGCACTGGATCCTCCAGTCTGCTTTTAAACATGTTCCACCGTTGCTTTGGGGAGACAGCTCTTCAGCTTAGTACATCTTGTGGTCCTTTCTCCAGAAATTTAGCCAAAACCAGCTTTGTATCCTTATTTTGTTACTCCTCCTGTTACCCACGTAACCTCTCTCTGAAGCACCTTCTACTAGTTCTCGAGTTCAAGTTGCCTTGACACAGCTCAGAGCTGCACCCACATTCCCGGCCCCTCTCCTTCCCTCGTCCGCTCTTGCTCAGCAAGCGAGCCGGACCTCCCAAAACACCTGCAGGTCAAGTGACACCTCCTGTCATGCAGCTTCACCCTTTCCCCTTCAGGAGTTTGTCTTCTAGAGACCCACTAACACCCCTTAGCGTCCTCACTGCCTGCTCCCCAGGTATTAGGAGATTATATATGCATATAGTCTTTTTAGGTTGGTTGTTTTGTTATTTTCCCTCCCGAAAACGCTGGTCTGACCTGGTCTTCCTGCCACGGTGTGGCCCCATCTCTTCCCCAAGACATCCCTGAGCATTTTGACACACTACCCTCCCCGTGCCCCCATCCTGCCAGGAGTGTCCACGACTGCCTTCGTGGGCTCCCGTGCCAGAAGAGATGCACTGCAACTGATACAGGCCTTTTTGGGATGAGCACACGAGTGTTTCACAAACTGCTACCACGAGCTCCCAGCGTTCTTGCACAGTAGTCCCCTCCCCTCCATCCAAGGGTGGCTGTGTGTCCTGTCCTCCAGATACCATATGCTGCCTCTTTATGGTGTTATCAGCAGGTGTCAAACATGTGCTGCCATGTTTGCGGTGTGCGTCCTTCTGCGTCAGGAATGACATCCAGCCCTTTGGAAAGTCCCTTCTGCTGCAGCCCTGGCTCAGAGCTGCCTTGTGTTCCCCTGGCAGCAGTGCTGAGCCGGGAGCTGGGCTGTGGCAGCAGAACAAATCTCTCAGAAGAAACCATCACCTCCTGCAGCTCAGCACACAGATTCGGGGCTGTGCTCTGCTCTCTGCCGGAGCGCAGATTTCCCAGCCGAGGTGGCCCATGTGCTCTGTCACAGCACGGCTCCCCCGATGGTTTTGGGGCTGTGGAAGCCAGCTGTCGCTGACCTAAGCCACTCTTCCTGCTCTGTCCACAAAAGCAGCGCTTCTCTGAAGGGCTCCAGACCAGCCAGCAGCCCCAGTGAACGTTTGTGGGGATGGTTTGCTCCTGCCTCTTCAGGGGAATGCTGCAGACACGTCTTCCAAAGAGCTGGGGGCTGCCGGCTGCTGCCAAAGGACTCGAGTTGGGCCATCCAACACCCTACCATGTACAGTATTGTCTCTGGTGTTTCTTTGCATTCTAATCAACAGTCAAAGCCGTTTTTCTTTTCTTTTTTTTTTTTTTTTTTTTTTTAATTCCCAATTCCACTCAATGGTACATGAAGGCAGGGCCTCAGGAGGAGCTGGTTCCCGGGGCAGTGGCTTTGGGCTGAAGTTTTTAATTCTGTGTGAAGTTCCCACTGCAGCATGGCCTGCAGAGCTCAGCTGCAGCTGACTCAGACCCCCAGGGGGGTCTGTCCAGGTACACCTCTCACTGCAAATAATGAAGTGTTGCTGCATCCATGCTAAAGAAACAAAGGGCTTTGGCTCCTTAGCTCCAAATAACCAAGTGCCTTTTTTATATATGTGGCTGCCTTTTACAAGATGAGTGCTTTCTGTGGAATGAAGCCAGTTCCGTGCCTGGCCTGTTAATATGATGGCCCTCTGCCTTTCTTCTCTCTCTTTTTATTTTTTTTTTAACTACTTGTAAAGATAATATCTCCTTAAGGTGGTATTTTATCTCGTAAGTTGTAGAGTAACCATTCACACAGCAGCATTTTCCTATATTAATAATGGAAAATATTTGCTTATTTTTACATTTTTTATAAAAGTCTTTTATGAAAATAGTTGCTGCCAAATGTATAAGCAATTTTTATCCCCAGAATAAAAAGTATGTGCCCATTGTCTGTGTGCTGCTGTTTTCATTTTGTTTTCCTTGCTACTGTGGCACTGGATTATAAATGAATCAGGGGTGCTCTATCTCAGCACCACACGATTTAGCTCCACCCAAGGGAGTGGAAGCAGCCTGGTGATATAGCAGATGGATTTTGGGTCTCTTAGTTAGCCGAGAATGGGGCAGTAACCTGCAGCCAAGCAGCTGGGCATACTGAAAGGATGGGGAGGGACTGGGATGGGTCCTTCCTTAGGCACTTTGGATAAGAGCTCTGGCTTGCCTGTGGGAGCCAGGGAAGGGCCAGAGCGTTTGTGTGGCTTTTAGAAAGGTTGTGAGCCTTTTTTTCCTGTCCTTCCAGCAGGGAAGGAGACCCTCATCCACCCTCATTCCTGGAGCTTTGTCTCAGCAGCTGATGCATGGAATCCTTTAGGTTGGAACTAAGATCATCGAGTCCAACCTTTAACCTGGCACTGCTGTGTTCACCCTTCACCCAATGTCCCCAAACGCCATGTACAGATGTTTCTGGAACATTCCAGAGGTGGTGATTCTGCCACTTCCTGGGCAGCCTGATCCAATGCCTGACTGCCCTTTCATTGACAATTTTTTCCTTGTATCTTATCTAAACTTCCCCTGGTGCAACTTGAAGCCATTTCCTCTCATCCTGTTGCTTCTGAGCTGGGAGAAGAGACTGACCTCCACCTATCTACAGCCTCCTTTCAGGTTGTTGTAGGGAGTGAAAAGGTCCCCCCTGAGCCTCCGTTTCTCCACACTAAGAGCACGAAGATGAGTGATTCTCCAGCCTCTGAAACAGGGAGTCACCACTCCTCTGTGCTGGTCTCAGGCTTGAAGAGTTTGATTGGAGCAGCCAGAAAACAAGCTGGCGGTAGCTGCTGTGCTGTGTTCGGAGCTCGGAGGTGCCACTGGAGCTTTGGGCTCCACTGGTGCTCACCTGGCTGTTCTCCAGCTCTTGGAGCCAGCAGCTGAATCACGACGCTGAGCTGGGGTAAAGCTGCTGGGGGCATTTTAAGGGTTTAATATTCAAACAGTGCAGCTCCTTTATCTCCTGGTAGAGCCAGCTGGGCGAGTCCAAACCTCCGGGAGGCATTCATCCATGTTCTCCCACAGCTTGCACATCTGTGCCAAAGTTTAGGGAGCTCTGCCGAGCCCCTGGCACAGCTGCACTGAGCTTACTGGTGCTCAGGCTGAGGCTTGAAGCTCCGTCTCCTCGGGACTGCTCCTGCCTCTTCCCCAGCCCAGGATGGCCAGGGGCTTGTGCAAACTTGCTGTGTTGTACTCAAGCATCAGGCAGGGAGCTGCCACATCCCTTTTATCTCACTGAGGAGCCTCAGGCTCTTTGGGGGAGCTTTTTCACAGTTTTTCCATAAATCAAGGGTGGAGTCGTGTTTTCTGGGGAGTTGCTGTGTTTGCAGGGTTTCACCACTGATCGAGGCAGCTGATGTGTGGCAGGTTGTTTCATTCAGAGCTGATAGCAGGCAGCAGCTGTGTTTGGACACGAGAACGTTTCATCCCGTGGATCCCGGAGGATGCCTAGCAAGCAGCAGCAGCAGCTCTACCCCTCTGTGTGGGTGAAGGAGAGGGGTCTGATCCTCCTCTCTCCCCGGGGCAGAAGACAGACCTGCCTCTGCACGCTAGCAGGGAGCTGCTCCCTGTTCACCAGCTGCATGTTTCAGCACACGCTGCTGCAGAGGAGATCCCGTGGCAGATCCCTGGGCTGTGCCTGACAGCGAGCTCTCCACTGGGGGAAAGCAGGGCTCAGCCCTGGCTCTGCATCCTCTGCAGGCAGCTGCCTCCTGGCTCACACTAATGCACCAGACCCTCAAGGGCAGCTCCTCTCCTCCCCACTGGCCTCCACCAGGGGTTTTAGGGAAGGAGAACCAGGCACCGGGGGTTTTGGGCATGGAGAACCAGGCAGCGGGGGTTTTGGGCATGGAGAGCCAGGCACCGGGGGTTTTGGGCATGGAGAACCAGGCACCGGGGGTTTTGGGCATGGAGAACCAGGCACCGGGGGTTTTGGGCATGGAGAACCAGGCAGCGGGGGTTTTGGGCATGGAGAGCCAGGCATTGGCCGGAGCTGGAAGCAGCAGGAGCCATGGGACAGGCAGCAGGATTTCAAAGCTACTTTGGTCCATTAGGAGCCAGCAAAGTGAAGCTCCAGAACAGTGTGGTGGCAGCAGGAACGTGCAGAACTCCAGCTGCCTCCCGCAGGTGCAGAGGAGCAAGGACCATGGCAGAGAAGGCTGTGCCAGACCTTGCCAAGGGCTCCAGCTGCTGGGGCCGGGAGCTCATCCCTATGGCTCCATGCCGTTCCCCGGGCTGGGGGTGCAGCCCCGAGGGACACAGAGTGTCCCTTCATCCCGAAGGGACACAGAGTGACGAGGGCTTGCGTCAGGGCTGGGCACCCTTCCCGCTATCTGATGGCATCACCAGCCCCCGGCTGCAGGCTGTTCCCACATCCCGGCCTCCCGCATCCTGCTCGCAAACATCCCCCGGCAGTTTAAACATGGGCGGTGTGTGGGTGACGCATGGCACAGCTGGGCAGGGTGCGGTGCCATCCCTCGGTTGGGGACAGGGGCAGTGCCAGGCGGTCGCACCCACTGCCCGGCCCATCGCAGGGATGCTCCGGCCGGGATCGGGGGATCACCCCCGGGGCTCATCCCTGCCACCCCTCGGGCAATCCAGGGCTGGCCCAGCGGGCATCCCTGCCAGGTGCCAGGCTGCTCTGGGCTGGAAGATGCTATCTGTATCGCGGGAGCAATTAATGATAATTGCAGGGGGTTTATTGACCGACTAGGACAGGTTCTTCCTGTCTGCTTCTAGAGATATGATAAATGCAAACAGTGTGGAGATCTGGGCAATCCTCCAGCAAAGTAGGGGGACGGAGGGGGGTCAGCAGGAAGATTTTTATGGTGAGAATCACATGAGTTGGGCAAACACAGATGCTGATGAGCACCACGCTATAAAGGGCAGCTCCTCTCCTGTCCCGGTGAACCGCGACGAGCCGCTATTCCTCACCATCTCCGGAGTACAGGTGAGGAACAGGACTCTCACAAGGCAGCCGGGGCCTCGGGATGCTCGGAGCTGGCTCACGGGCGAGCAGGAGCCGGTCCCTCTTCTCTCCCTGGCAGCCCCCGCGGGAGCTGAGCTCTGCCCTCGCTGTGATGCTGCATTTTCCAGCCCTGCGTTGACTTTTGTCGCTGCTTCTTTGAGGGGAAGACGAGCTGAATCTGCAAATCGGTCCCGGTGCCGGGGGATTAGCCCAGATAAAGGGGAACTGCGCTGATGCGGCCGATTTGCCTCCCCAGCCCTGGCAGCGCTACGAGCCCAGGGCGTGGAAGCGCTGCCTGCACGCAGTCCCTGCAGCCCCACCTGTGCCACTGGGGTCCCCCGACCCGTGTCCGCGACAGCACCACTCCCCATTTGTCCCCACAGAGCAGCTTGGCTCTCCCAGATGCCTCTCGAAGATTCTGGGACTGGTGGGGCCAGGAAAACCCGCTGCCAGTGTGGGCTGGGGACTCCAAGCCATGCCTGGAGAGTGGGGTGCAGGTGTGGGGCGGAGAGGGAGGCACAGCCTGCCAGGGGCCAGGTTGGCACTCTCTGGTCGCAGGTAGCATCCTCTGTCCCCAAGGGACCTTGCGTGACCCTCTGGAACCTTTTCAGGGATCCAGGAGGATGGCGGCCGCGGCCAGACTCACCCTGCTGCTGCTGGGCTGCGTGGGGCTCCTGCTGCCGGTCGGTGAGTGCCAGGCTCGGGGGGCAGCTGCTGCTGTAGCTGGGCCAGGAGGGAGCCACGCTCTTCTCCCGGCTGTCCCTCATCCCTGCCCGCCGCTCTCCCCGGACAGATGGCAGGTATATAAGCTACTGCCCCGACGGCTGGTCCTACTACAAGCTCAGCTGCTTCAAGTACTTCACGGAGTCCCGGAGCTGGGACGAGGCTGAGGTAAGCCCAGCTCAGGGGTGCGCAGGGGAACGGGGACCCCCTCGTCTCCCTGAGGAGCTCTGGCACTGACTGCTGTCCCTGCAGAGTCGGTGCGAGGATGTCCAGAAAGGCGCTCACCTGGCCTGGGTGGAGAATGCCCAGGAGGCAGTCGTCCTGAGGAGAGCCATCTCCTACTACCAGCATGTGCAGCCCGTCTGGATTGGACTCCAGAAGAATAAAGAGGTGAGGTGTGGGCGGCAGGGGCGATGGGGACAGCAGGGCCGTGCCTCTGAACCCCCCTCTGCCCGCACAGAGCCAGGCCTGGCAGTGGACGAGCGGGAAGGAGTACAGCGTCGCCAGTGAGATGCCAGGGAACAGTGCCCGAGGGGGGAACTGCGCCGCGCTGACCCATCACAGCGGTGAGTGCCCGGTCCTTGCACCCAGCTCCAGCACCTGGGCTCGGCTGGCACTCCCTCTCCTCCCTTTTCCTCCAGGTCCCATCCCCTGGGAGGGCTGCGGTGGGCACAGCCGGTGCCCGTCCTCACCAGCCCCCTGCTTGTCTCTCCTGCAGGTTTCTCAGTGTGGTCCAGTGCCGAGTGCTCCCAAAAGCATCACTTCATCTGCAAGTTCTACCCCTTGCACTGAGCACACCGCTGGCCCGAGCGGGGTCCAGCGCTCCTCCCGTGCCGCCTCCGACTCCCTTCCCTCAACTCCTATAAATACACCTTATAAAAAAAAGAGAAGCATGAGAGTGCTGTGCTGTGTGAGCTTGGTGCTGGTCTGTGAGAGAGAGAGACGGGCTTTGCCACGGCTCCCCGGCTTCCAGAGGCTTCTGCGCTGCCGGTGCGAGCAGAGTTTGGGGATGAATACCCACGAATTGCGGGGACAGTGGCTCTCCTGGCTGAGCGCCCGTGTTTGCTCATGCCGGCCCTCGGGTGCCAAATACAACAGGGGAGCAGGTGGGGGAACAGGAGTGTCCCCGAAATGCAGACACGGAGACCTGGGACACGGGCAGGAGCTGTCGTGGGTGTGCAGGAATGGGGACAGGAGCTCCCTCAAGGTGCAGACAGCTCCACAGGGATTTTGGAGCTGCAACACTGCCCCAGGGCCGTGTTGACAGCAGCACCGGGACCAAAGGTCACTTTTGTGTCACTGCTGTGTTGCCACAGGCATCACGTGGCTGTTTGCCCTGCTACTTTGAAGATGGCTCTGCCCCCATCCAGCTCGTGGGTTTTTTACCCCCCCAAAAGCTGCCGCACGTGTCAGGCGTGGACTGAGCCCCGGGCAGCGCGGATCTGCCGGCACCGAAGCCGGGCCACCCTCTGCTCCCTGCCAGGACCGCAGAGTGACCACAGCCTGGCACCGGAGCTGCCACTGCCCAGGGCAGCCCGTCCCGCCGCTCAGCCCCGGCTCAGTGTCCCCAGGCTTTGGGGCACAAGGCGAATTCCCCTCTCACGCTCCCCCCTCCGAAGCTCCGCCGCCCCTTTGGTGTTGGCCGGCGCTCGGTGACCTTTGAGCGCCAGGGTCCGGCCGGCTGATAAAGGCCGGGAGGGCTGTGCCGGGCTGCCCACGCAGTTTATAAAAGCACTACGCCAAGACCCATCCCGCTGTCCGTCTGTCCGGCCGGCCGTCCCTTTGTCCGAAGATGTTGCGCTTGTTCGGGCGCGCCGCGCGGTGCTGGGGGGCGAGGTGGGCACCGCCGGGGCCGGAGCGGGCACCCCGGGGCATCCAGAACCCCCCGGCTTGGCACAGGGCATGGTGAGCATCCGCAGGGACCGAGGGTGCTGCAGACATAACCAGGGTAGGGGAGGGGAGCTGGCTGAGCTCTTGGTGGGGAAGGGGAGCCTCTCCCTCCTCCCTGCAGCACTGCCAGGATTTTGGAGCGCTCCCAGCCAGGGCTACTCGCTGGTGGCATCTGCCCAGGGCCACCCTCTGTCCCCAAGGCTGCCGTGGGATTGTTGCTACTCCCTCTGTCCCACAGCCTCTCCAGTGCTGCCGGGACAGGTGCCTGGCCCAAGGACGTGGGCATCCTGGCCCTGGAGGTGTACTTCCCCGCCCAGTACGTGGACCAGGAGGACCTGGAGAAGTTTGATGGCGTGGAGGCCGGCAAGTACACTCGGGGCCTGGGCCAGAAGCAGATGGGTTTCTGTGCTGCCCACGAGGACATCAACTCGCTGTGCCTGACCGTGGTGCAGCGGCTGGTGGAGCGCGGGCGCCTCTCCTGGGACTCCATCGGCCGCCTGGAGGTGGGCACCGAGACCGTCATCGACAAATCCAAGGCCGTCAAGACCGTCCTCATGCAGCTTTTCCATGATTCTGGCAACACTGACGTGGAGGGTATCGACACCACCAATGCCTGCTACGGGGGCACGGCCTCGCTCTTCAACGCGGCTGCCTGGGTGGAGTCCAGTGCCTGGGATGGTGAGTGCAGGCAGGGTCCATGCCTGGTGCTGGGTGGGTGCTGTGGGATAGGGGAAGGAGGCAGGAGGTGTCCCAAAACCCAAAGATGCTCCAGGCTCTCCATCACCCGTTTCTTGCTCATCTTGCTGTGACACCTGGGAGCACGGAGATAGGAACACAGCAGGGCGATGGGATGGAGTCTCCCAGCTGCTGGTGGCCCTGTCAGTCCCTCTGTGCTCACCCAGGTCGCTATGCCGTGGTGGTGTGTGGGGACATCGCTGTCTACGCCACGGGGAACGCGCGGCCCACGGGAGGCGCCGGTGCCATCGCCATGCTGGTGGGACCCAACGCCCCCCTGGTGCTGGAGAGAGGTGGGTGCCGTGAGGCCCTGGGGGTGCTGAGCTGATGGGTGCTGTCCCTGGGGCCATGTATCCATCTCCCAGCCCTGGGCAGAGCTGCTCTGCTGGATACTCGGGAGTGCTGGCTAGCCACATCCCTGTGGGCACCACGGAGTGACTCAGGGAGGCTGTGGAATTCCGGGGTGGCATGGCAGGGACCTCCCGATGCTATTTGACAGCTGGCTCTACCCGTGCCCCCAGGCCTGCGTGGAACCCACATGGAGCACGCCTACGACTTCTACAAGCCCAATCTGTCCTCGGAGTACCCGGTGGTGGACGGGCAGCTCTCCATCCAGTGCTACCTGCGGGCGCTGGACCGCTGCTACGCCGTGTACCGACGCAAGGCAGAGACCCAGTGGCAGCAGGGTGAGTGGCAGCACCCCCGAGGCGCCCAGCACAGCCCCCTGGGTACTGATGGCCCCGTGTTGCCTCCCAGCTGGCATCCAGAGGCCCTTCACCCTCGATGACTTCAAGTACATCATCTTCCACTCGCCCTTCTGCAAGCTGGTGCAGAAGTCGGTGGGGCGGCTGCTGCTGAATGACTTCTTGGCCTCCCCCAACCCGGACACGGCCTCTGGCCTCTACAAGGGGCTGCAGTCCTTCCGGTGGGTCCCCGTGCAGTGTCCCCCACCCCTCATCCCGGCCAGGGATGTGCTGGGTGGGGTCCCAGCTGCTCTCTCTTTGGGCAGTGGTGTGAAGCTGGAGGACACTTACACCAGCAAGGAGGTGGAGAAGGCATTCCAGGCAGCCAGCCAGGACATCTTCAACCAGAAGACCAAGCCCTCCTTGCTCCTCTCTTCCCGCAACGGCAACATGTACACACCATCCATGTATGGCTGCCTGGCTTCCCTCCTGTCCCAGTGAGTCCCCCAAAACGCCGGCTCGGAGAGAGGGAGGAGATAATTTTGGGGAGGGCACTCCCTGGCTGGATAGAGGGGCAGAACTCATCTCCCAGTCCTCATCTCCCCCTGCCTCAACAGGGACCTGATCCTTTCCTTGCACACAGCCCCCAGTGTGGATGCATCCTGCTCCAGGCATCTCCCTGCCAGACTTTTCATCCCGGCTCTCTGGAGCTGGGCCAGTGCATAAAGCCCTTCTGTCATCACCAGGAGGATGAAAACCCCTGTTGTCATGCCCAGTGGAATGAGTGACCCCCTGGGAAAGGAGTCATGGGAACAGACAGGCTCTGAGGGGGACAAAAGCCTTATCCGGGGGCTCCCTGTGCCACCACCGCACTCCAGGGCTACAATCCCTCAGAAATGTGGCCCCAAGGATCTGCCTGCCTGCCTACAAAGGAGGCAGCCCCCTCCACTGCCCCCACAACCCTGTGTATCGCCATGTCCCCTCATCCCAAATGTCCTGTAACCCCCTCAACTCTCACTTCAGGTGCTCAGCACGGGACCTGGCCGGCTCCCGGATCGGTGCCTTCTCCTACGGCTCGGGACTGGCGGCCAGCATGTTCTCCTTCCGCGTCTCGCAGGATGCAGCTCCAGGTGAGACCCAGGGCAGAGAGGGAAGGGGGGGGCAGCGTGGGGCTGCCCGTGGTGCCCTCTCACGCGTGGGGTGCCCCCTGGCAGGCTCACCCCTGGACAAGTTGGTGTCCAGCCTGGCTGACCTGCCCGCTCGCCTGGACTCCCGCAAACGCGTGGCCCCGCAGGACTTCGCCGAGATCATGAAGAGGCGGGAGGAAACTCATCACTTGGGTGAGTGGGGTTGGGATGGTGTAACCCTGCCCTGTCGGGACCCCCCAACACCCCTGAGCATCACTGCCCTCCTCCCCCTGCAGCCGACCACGCTCCCCACGGCTCCCAGGCGGATCTGTTCCCCGGAACCTGGTACCTGACACGGGTGGATTCCAAGTACCGCCGGGAATACGCCAGGAAGCCCATCTAGGGTGGGATCACCTCTGGGGAGGAGGATGCTCTCTTTCCCGCTGTCATCCCTGTTCACTCCCCACATCCAGGGCTGGCCTGCGTGGCAAAGTTCCCTTTGTATCCGTGGGGAGTGGCCAGCACTGGCTCGGGCCCGGAGCTGTTGGAGGTGCAAACACCTGGGCAGTGCAGGGGAATAAAGGTGCGATGGGAGGGGGCAGCAGCCCGGCTCCGGCTCCTGGTCTTGAATGGTCTCCTCCCAATTAATAACCACCAGTCTGGATCACAGCTGCTTATGGGATTTATTCCATGGCCCTGTTAGACATGGGAGTATGCCCTGATATTTTAGGGGAGTCAAGTAAGCCCCAGCCTCCTAGGGGCCAGCTTAGGGGGGCAAGATGGCATTTTCCCCATGGTGTCATTAAATTGAAACATCCTCATGGCAAAACCCGTGGGCAGGAGGGCACAGATGACACAGCGGCTCACGGGAGGGCTCATGCCCTTTGCAGTGCTGCTCTCTGGGCCACGTCCCAGCACGGGACTGTGGTCAGGACCTCGGCAGCCACAGAGACCTTTGCACCCTTCAGCAAACAACAGCAGGGCTGGGGAGCAGCAGGGGCAGGAGGGAGGGGGTTTGGGGTTGAGGACAAAGGACTGCACAGACAAGGCACCACATGTTCTCTCCTTCTAGACCCTTTATTGAACGTGGGGCCACCCCAAACCCAGTGTGGGGGTCAGGGATGGCCATGTGAAATGCTTCCCTTGCATTTCCAGATGCTGCAGGTGTGGGGAGAGTCCTTGTGGGCAGTCGGGGTCTAGGGCAGGTGGAGCTGGAAGACTTCTGTGACACGTGGCTTTAGTTCACCCAGGTTGGGCAGGGGGGCTGAGAGCCCCACGACACTCCACTGCTCCCCTGCCACCATGCAGGAGCTGTGGTAGGACAGGAGCTGCACCCCTGCCTTGCTCAGCAGCCCTAGAGAGGAGGACAGGAATTAGGGACCACAGACTGTCCCACTACCCCAGCACGGAGCTGAGCCTTTGCTCACCCCAACACCCCACTCAGAGGTCCAGGATGCCATT